CGGATAAACACTACAACATTTTAGGACTTTAGCCACTCCTGAGAAGTGTGGCCTAAACTATCATAAAATGTGACATTTGATTAGAGGCTACACTTTTCGACTTTAGACAACGCTTTTAGGGGGTGACCTAAAGTAGCGTAACATTTTTCTCTAAGGCCACGCGTTACAACTGTTGCTTTAGAAGTCACGCTTCAAAAGTGTAGCCTATAAGGTACAACAAACACGCTTCTAGCACCTCATATGGCAACAGTTTTCATTTCCTAAAACTACATTTTTGAAGCATGGTCAAAAGTGTGACAATTGTTTTATGATATTTATTAGCTACAATTTTATGGTTGAAAATTATACTTTTTAAATGTACTCACATTTATTTCAAGCAATTATATTTTAATGATCTCAAGCACTAAATTAGATAATGAATAACAAAAAATTATAATTTAAATGCATGTACTTGCAATAAACTTAAAAAAAGAAACTGTTATAAGAAAAATCAAATTATGGTGGATGTCTACTGTTCCAACATGATCTTCTCAAATGCTTAATGACATATTTCTATACTTAATGACATATTTTTCTTCACTTTTCATGCCTATATAAAGGCCTTGTCATAGATAAGAAAATACACACAATTGAAGAAGAAAATCTCTTCCTTCTCTCTATCTCCATTTCTTGTTCATGTTTTACTAAAATACTTTTATTTCATAACAACATGTCTTGTTCATATTTTACTAAATTGCTTTTATTTTATAACACGTTATCAGCACGAATTGCTCATTTCATGATCTTCTACGTCAAGACTATATAAATTATAAGCAGACAATGAGATCAAGTATAATAAAAAATGTCTTGGATGATAATATAAAGATAAGTTTTACATCCATCTGAACCCATTCATACTTTCATATCTTTACATTAACTTTATGTGTAGTATTTAGTTAAAATATTTTTTTTCAATTGTATCCACTGAAATAAAGAACTGGAAAGGTATGTCTTTATTTGCTACATCTCTTATTGGGCAAAGATAATATTCCAACGTATATATATGTTCTGACCTTTTACATACTATGATAGATAATTATTAAGGTAATTTAGTAATAATATTTTTACCATCACATGATGTATTTCATTGAAAGCAAAATTATCAAATATGTAGGCGATTTTACAGTACCTTGCAAATTTGGCATTCGAATATATAATCAATATAAACTCATTATAGTTATAATTTATAATAATCACAGTTATGCATTAAGCCTTAAATATTTTTGCTGGAAACATAAGGCTCATTCCTCCGTATTGGATTTTTTTGGTGAATTCTTATAGTCTTTAAAATATAAGTGGTTATAGGTTATTTTCACCTTTCCCCTAATTAATTTATTAAAATATAAAAGTGATTGTATCATTTAAATAAAAAAAAAGTTGGCATATATCCCAACTAGCATTTTTGTTGCAGAGGAACTGTTTCAAGATTGAAATAGTTATATATGTCTTCTTAAAAGTTAATTTACTTATACCTATAATTATGAAGTAATAATATTTTAAAGGTTCAAGTGCGAGTCCTAGTGAATTTTGGCCTATTATGCCAAAGATTGAGGGTAAGACGACGGGTTCAAGTCCCAACGTACTATGTTGATGGCCTAGCATATCTTTATATGGGTAAGGCATTGGGTTTGAGTCCTAATGCACCATATTGATAATAATAATAACTAAATAAAAAATAATATATTTTTCATGAAAAAGCATGAAACTTGTCCCACTTGATTTGCTCCATTCTTGAAGTGAATGTGATAGCAGTGCATGATAAGTCTAAATAAAGACAAGTGGTTGACCAATGAATGTGGGCGTGCGAAAGGCCAAAATAATAATAGTTATCACTATGGTAATTATAAAAAGGGAGAACAAGACAATGTTTACCATCAAATTGGTATGAAAAAAAATAAAATAAAGCACATTGTATGATTATACTCCATTCTTTGAAGAGAATGTGACTTGTGATAAACATTGAGAATGCATACTCATTCCTGAAAGTGAATGTGAAAATATATATGTGATAAAGATTATGCATAATAATGTACTTGTGCATGGTTGGATAAATACTACAACTCACCTCTAAGAGAGGTTTGAGACAAAGAAAGATAATGAATATTACTGTGTAGTTACATGAATATATCATTGGTCGCATACATGTGATACGCCAAAAATATTTTGTCATGCCTTATGAAAGTTATTAAAAGCAAAATTAAAGCAAGAAATTATTTTGCTTATGATGATTTTGAACATGACAATTATTATGATATGATTCTCTTTGTGAAGGAGACATTCATTATATGGATGGTGTGACAAAAGATCTTGTAGTACAAAAGCAGTTAAGAGCTCTGAAAGAACTAATTTGTTACTACCCGGATGAATACAATTATTCATGACATTAATATTGCAGTAAGTCTCAAAATAAATATTTTGATTTACAAATATATTAGCCAAAGTGGTTGGCATATTGAGATTATAAATGAAAAGAAGATTGAATATCTTTATATTACTATAATCATACCGGGTAAATATGAAAGGTTACCTGACTTTTCTTCTATTTGTACTACACAAGTATAAGCATGATGATGCAATCACAAGCCACAAGTAAACTAGAGGTTTACTGAAATAAATATTAGTTGGCATGACCGGTTGACCATCTCGGTTCAATTATGATGCGAAAAATTAATTGAGAATTGCATTGGCATATATTGAAGAAATATAAGATTCTTCAAGAATTCTCTTCTGCTGCTTATTCTCATGATATACCAGTTAAGGTTGGGATTGAATCCCTTGATTTATGGAACGAATAAAAGGTGATAAATATATGGGCGCAGTCACCTTCCATGTGGACCGTTTACTATTATATGATTTTAAAAGATAAATCTATTCTATGGTCACATGTGCATTTGTTATCAACTTGCAGTTTGGCTTTTTCAAGATTGATTGCTCATATTATTAAAGCACAGTTTCAGAATATAAATTATGATGATTTATCTTGATAATACTGATTTAAATCCAAGTTGGTTTAGTAGAAATTGTATACCTCTAATTATATCTAAATCATTGTTTATGAGAACAAAATTGCCAAAATAAAATTTGGTATGTGATGTATTATTTAATATACAACAACACTTGTACGCATCTAGCCAAGTTATGATAAGTTCTCCCTATCACAATCGGTTCAGGGTCATGAACCAAATAATTTCCATCTAAAAATATGAATGTGCTATATAATTTAATTATTCCACCACAATGCACAAAGATGGATCCCCAAATAAGGCTAGGGATATGTGTTGGTAATCCCAACAATAGGGGGAGAAAATGGGCAGCTGAAAAAGTAATGCATGCAATGAATTATTATGAGTACATCTAGATCTTCGTACTAAAAAATATGAACTTGAAGTTCAAGTGATAATTCATTTACAAAATATTGCCAGGCGTATTTGCTGACCCAAAGCTAAATGTCATATTCAGCTGCTAATGCTCCAAATAAAATAAAGTTCATAATGAATAGAGTCCATGGCATGCATAAAGCATAATAGACTAATCGGTTCCAAAGATAAAACTCCTTGAAGAAGGAGAGGAGCAAATGTTCAAGATGGTCATAATAAGGAGGCAAGTGCTCTAGAAGAGCACCACGACATAACACTTCATAAGACCTCATGGTAGAGGCTCGGGTACCTGAAAATAATAAGATAAAGAGATCTCAATAAGTTATATCTTTATTGGATGATAGTAGAACTGATATAAAATGATCGTCGACGATATTGTTAATATAATGTAGCGCTCAATATTATTAATATTGACGAGGATCTTGAGCTCAAATCTATCATGAAATTTGAACAGATAAATGATTGGCCAAATGAAAATAACGCAATGAAAATTGATTTCGCCTGAAAAATATGAAGTTGGACAAATAGTCCCAAAACCTAAAAGTATAAAGCCAGTGGAGGTATAAATGTGTTCTAAAAGGGACTACCGATATGAGATTATTTTATGGCAATGATTGCAGTCCCGATCTTGTTGGTTATGCCGATACTGGGTATTTATATGACCCACACAAGACTCGATCTCAAATAAGCTATGTGTTTACATATGGAGGCACTGCCATATCTTGGCGATCGACTAAGCAATCAATCGTGGCTACTTTATCTAATCATGCTGAGATAATTGCTATTCATAAAGCAAGTCGAGAATGTGTATCGTTGAGGTCTATAATACACCTTATTCGAGACAAATGTAGTTTGAAGTGTGACAAACTACCCACAATTTTGTATGAAGACAATGCAGCATGCATAGCCCAATTGAAGAGAGGATTCATAAAGGGGATAGTACTTGCAAATTTCACCAAAGTTATTTTTCACACATGATCTTCAAAAGAATGGTGATACCAATGTGCAACCGATCCGTTCAAGTGATAATATGGCTGATCTGTTCACCAGATCTCTACCGACGGCAACCTTCAAGAAATTAGTGTACAAGATTGGGATGCGAAGACTAAGGATGTGAATTGATACTCTCATCAGGGGGAGTTAATACGTGTTGTACTCTTTTTTCTTACAAGGTTTTGTCCCACTGTGTTTTTCTTGCAAGGTTTTTTACGAGACAACCAAAAGGTATATTTCTAAACATGTGTACTCTTTTTCCTTCACTAAAATTTTTTTTCCCATAGGATGTTTTTCCTAATAAGGTTTTAACGAGGCACATTATCTATGACCATCCAAGGAGGAGTGTTATAAGAAAAATTAAATTATGGTGGATGTCTACTCTTCCTCCATGATCTTCTCAAATGCTTAATGACATATTCAATGACATATTTCTATGCTTAATGACATATTCAATGACATATTTTTCTTCACTTTTCATACCTATATAAAGGCTTTGAAATAAATAAGAAAATACACACAATTGAAGAAGAAAATCTCTTCATTCTCTCTATCTCCATTTCTTGTTCATGTTTTACTAAAATACTTTTATTTCATAACAACATGTCTTGTTCATGTTTCACTAAATTGCTTTTATTTTATAACAGAAACATATTTCGTATTCTATACATACTAATAAACAATATTTCAACATGTGCACTAACAACGAACTCTATAAACTGAATGTTTTCCTATAGTATCATAATAATAAACATCACAATTACTCAAAAAGTCTTTATCATGTACTCCAATAGATCAATTAACTTTTGTCCGCCATATCCAATTGCTATCACCCATATTTTCCTACACATTAAAAATGAAATTAAAAATTAGAAAGAAACCAATCGATAGTTATGCAATATCATACTGGATTAGGTGTTTGAAGTGGAAGTTGAAATTTAGACCAATTGATTGCACAGAACAAACGAATTTTAACATTAAAACTTCAAAAGATTTCTATCAAACTTGGAACTTTATTGAAAAGGTACATGAAAAATCAAGTTCACATGGCATATAAATGTTGTTCTTTCTTGTCGTTCTTCTTCTTACTATCAGAGCATTATAAAAATGGGTAAGTAACTAAACATAATTTCTGAAATACATATAAACAGATTGAAATGATGAAAACTTCACTGGAATGCTAGCACTTAATATCAAAATGGATGGTGGTGCAACTTCAATGATAACATTTTGAGGCTATCATTTTGACAGTATTCTTAGAGCTCCACCTGCACAACTAGACTTCGCTAGTAGGCCTATCCCCCCAATAGCACAAATGCAAGCAAATATACCTATTTTAGTTCTCTAATTTGATATAACTAGTGAAATGAAACTAACCTGAATCTCACATGTTTGAGTTCTCTTTCGCCATCTGGGAGTACTCTTATAGTGATAAAAACTCTAGGCTGAAAGTTCATCTGCAATTGAAAGCTCACTATCTATCATGTGGAAAATACAATGAAGCTTCTTCACATTAAATATTTAGTGCAACATCTTAAATAACAAAAATATTGAGAGAAAACAAATGGCTACAAATTCTTAATCTGCTCTCTACCAGTTACAAGTAGGATTTATATATTTCAATTAGTTTTTTTCAAGCCAAGCTACTAATAGAGCTCTAATAATATCAAATCTGTAAAGGAAAAATAAAACAGCTCCATAAAACTCCAACCTCTAAGAAGTCAAGATTATCAGAACGCTTCGGATATAAGTTAAGATCTTTGCACACTCTTAAATATTTGCAGAACATGTAAGTTCAGCATCAAATTCAAATAACGTTGTCTATGTCGTGTTTCCTAAACTCACAGAAAAAATGAACCACACGAACACATCGGATGGATAAATTTTTTAAAAAGAAATAGAAGAAATAGAACGAAAGCAAAACAATTGAAAAAAAAAAACTGAAAAAATAAAAGAAAGAAGAGGTATAAAGTACATGTGCTTTTAACACATGTATCTGGATTCTGGTCACTTCCTGGACCCATGCTTCATTTTTCTGAGCACAATTAGATAAAGTTCAATAACTGGTCTTAGACACAATGCAAAACAAAATTCGCTAGCCTTAGTCGTATCCGTCCGGTAACCTTTCTGCCTTGGCTTCATATGAAGTCAATGAGATAACATTGCAAATACTCAAATCTCCCTTTTTACTCTTTTCTAGTGAATGAGTTGGAAAGATTATGAGAATATGTTATTACCAAACTGAAACATCAGTAATGTCATCTTCAGTAGCCTGAGATCTTAGCATAAACAACATAATGTGAAGATAGATGTACCTTACAATTGCAATGCAGACAATAATATTCAAAGTGAGAAACTATGGCAGAACACAAAGTGCATAAACACAAGAAAATATTTTATATTTAGCATGAATACCTATACGCTATGCATTTATATTTCTTTAACAGTCCTTTGAGTTCTTTAAAGAAAGAATTGTCTACAACTAAGTTATTGTAAGTATTTTTTGGCCTATGTCAGAAGTAAAGAGAGGCGTGAGAGTAGAACAATTCAGGACGCAACCACAATTGCTATGTTTTCCATGTTTCAGGGGTTGCAAGATAAGTTGAGAGGTTTATGCAAGAAAGAAACAAATCTCACCTTGCCCTATCCTCCTCCCCATATAACCCACAAAACTCAAGCCTACCACCAAGTCCACGCACACAACAACAATCCTATCAAATTGCTACAAAACATTGTCTAAACTCCAAGGAATAGCTATGATATGGAGTTACATGTACCTAACAGTTGGGAACAAATTTTAAAAAGTCCTAATTTGCAAAACCTTCAAATTTCAAACCAATTCCAGAAAACCTCCTTCAAATTGAATTAAGCAATGATTTTAAGCTACCTCCACAACTCAAAACTCCAAAATTCTACATCTAAAAATTGAAATATATAGAAACTACTTCGAAACTCGAGAGATCTATGAATGAACACGAATGAATACATAAAACAGTTATTGAAATACAGATCTGAGAACAGAATGAAGATTGAAAAAAAAAACAAGCAAAGATTTAGGGATAAGATTTTTGAGAGATTAAGGATCCAAAGCAGGAAAGGAGTACGGAGATACAAAGTATCATAATCAAAATCGAAGACGGTAATGTTTCTTACGGTGAAAGAGGTCCAGTTATTCAAGGCAAAGCCTCTGCAAATCTGACACGAACTCCACCGAATACGTTGAAGTATAGCTGTCTCGACCCAATTCTCCCTCTCCGTAAGACTCGTGACGGCACCTACTCTCTACAACTAGGTAAGTCTAATAAAATGCAAAAATAATAAAAATAGAAGTAAAACTTAATAAATATCTACAACATATAACTAAATAACTGGTAACAATACCGCTCGGCGTCTACAATAACCAACACTCTAGTAATATACAGTATTCTCAAAACCTGGAATATCGTAAGTCACAAACAACATAAGAAAACTAGTATCTCTATACACCAAAGTCTAATAAAAGAAGTACAAAAGGTAACTGACATAGGGGAGAATAGAAGGGGACTCCGAAGTCTGCGGACGCGATAAATGTACCTTGAAGTCTCCGTACAGCAGTAAACAGTCTCAGCTAATAGCGGAACTAATAAGAAATACTTGAATCTGTACACAAAAATATATGCAGAAGAGTAGCATGAGTACATCTTAAACGGTACCCAGTAAGTGCCAAGTCTAACCTCGGTCGAGTAGTGACGAGGTCAGGTCAGGTCAGGCCCACTGGTAAATTACAAATAAGGCAGGAGAATATACAGTATAATAAGAGACTAGAATTTAACAAAAGGAAACACATCAAGGCAACAGTACAACACACAGGGGTAAACAGCAGGGGATCTCCCGAGATACCGTCTCGTAGTCCCAAAATAAACATAGAAGGAGAACTCCTAAGGTACCGCCTCATAGTCTCAAAAGTAAATATACATGGAGAACTCCCGAGGTACCGCCTCGTAGTCTCAAAAGTAAATATACAGAGAGAACTCCCGAGAAACCGCCTCGTAGTCTCAAAAGTAAATGTGCAGGGAGAACTCCCGAGGAACTGCCTCGTAGTCTCAAAAGTAAATGTGCAGGGAGAACTCCCGAGGAACCGCCTCGTAGTCTGAAAAGTAAACACACAGCTCAAACCGATAAATACAACAGTTAACAGCAAGATTTCTACAGTTATAGTGATAAAGAACAAGGAAAAGCAGGAAATCAACTAGGCATACTTCACAGAGTTCAAATAAGCAGTTAAAGCACATAGGCATACGATATTAAACTAAACAGGATAACTACACATATTAGAATAGCTCAATTAAGAATGAAAATAAACTAATACTCATTTAAACGGTATAACTCAAATTAAAGGAAAAACAGGTTGTTACTCAGTGAAATAAATCGAGTTTTTACAACAATAGCTCGTGTACGTACTCGTTACCTCACGTACACGGCGCTCACATACCACATCAGTACCAAATCCTAAGGGAATTTCCCCCACACAAGGTTAGGCAAGCCAATTACCTCGAACCAAACTCAATTAATCAGTAAGACTGTCCTTTCCTCGATTATCCGACTCCGAATGGCCCAAATCTAGCCAAAAATAATTACATATCATAAATACAACTATAATAGACTAATCTAATTAATGAAATCAAGACTTTAACAAGAAATTTGAAAATCGTTCTAAAAGGTCGACCCGGGCCCACGTCTCGGAATCGGGTAAATGTCACAAAATATGAACACCCATTCACTCATGAGTTCACTCGTACCAAAATTATCCAAATTCGTTATCAAAATCCGAACCAAAACTCAAAAACTTAGTTGAAGAACTTCCAACCTTTTCCCCCAAATTCCTTAATTTAATGATGTAATCAACTATAGATTAGTCGAATATAACCATAAATGAGTTATGAATCATTACCCCCAAAGTTCTCTCTGAAAAACCCTTGAATTATCGCCTCAATCCGAGCTCTCAAAGACCCAAAATGAAAATGAGATCAAACCCTCGAAATTTTCCCTTTTCTACCCAGCGATCTCGCACCTGCGGACCACCAGTCGCACCTGCGACGCCACACCTACGGAATTTCCATCGCATCAACGGAGATGGCTTAAGGTCCAAAGATCCGCTTTTGCGGACTACAACACGCATTTGCGGGCCCGCTTCTGCGGATGACCTTCCGCATCTGCGACTCTGCCCAGGCCGCCCCTTTTCGCTCATGCAGTCAATCCTCCGCATTTGCGGATGCGCAGATACGACTCCCATTTTGTACTTGTGCTCACAGACCAAGCTTGACCAAACCGCATCTGCGCTCCTCCTTCCGCACGTGCGATCCCGCACATGCGGTCTCCCCTCCGCAGGTGCGAAAACACTAGAAACCAGAAAATCTTTAGCAACTAGCCTAAGTCCAAATTCAACCCGTTAAGCATCTGAAACACACCCGAGGACCCCGGGATCTCAACCAAACATACCAACAAGTCCTAAAACACCATACGAACTTAGTCGAGCCCTCAAATCACATCAAACAATGATAAAAATACGAATCACCCTCCAATTCAAACTTAATGAACTTGAAACTTTAAATTTCTACAACCGATGCCGAAACCTATCAAATCACGTTCGATTGACCTCAAATTTTGCACACAGGTCATAATTGACATTACAGACCTACTCCAAGTTCTAGAATCGGAATCCGACCCCGATATTAAAAAGTTCACTACCAGTCAAAATCTCTAAAAATTCTACATTCGCCAAATCAAGCCTAAATCGGCTACAGACTTCCAATACACATTTTGGACATGCTCCTAAGTCTAAAATCACCCAACAGAGCTAACGGAACCGACTAAACTCCATTCCGGAGTCGTCTTCACACAGTTTCAACTATGGTCAAAATCCTAAGACTTAAGCTTCTGTTTTTATGGACTAAGTGTCCCTAATCATTCCAAAACCACAAACATAACCTACCAGCAAGTCACATAAGGAGAAAAAGATACGGAAAAAACAGTAAATAAGGGATCAGGGCTATTACTCTCAAAACGACCGTTCGAATCGTTACAATAGCATAACCGCAACAATAGCCAACGCCGACGACAACATATCATCGTGGTAGTCTACATCGGAGTCATCATCGGAATACATGCCACTCTCGTGTCTGAGAGAAAATGGGGCAGTGGCATTGGTGAGAGCGAGTGGCGAGTCTTTTCTAAAGGTTTAATTTTTAGTTGGGAAGTTGTGGAAATTTAGGGGAGGGAAAATTGTGAATATTTTAGTGGAAAATTTTGGTGTAAATTTTTTGAGTACCCTTGTAACGTGTTGCTTTAGAGTTAAAAAAAGAGCACCATTCAAAAGCGTTCCATTATATGAGTGTTAGTGTTGCCAAATATTTTATAATATGGCAAAAGTTAAAAGGCGTAGTATTTATATCTAAAAAGAACGCCGTTGCCTAAATTTCGTGTTGTCTAAAATTAACGTGGCGTTAATCCAAATTTATTGTAGTGAAATAAGCTCGTACTTTTTGAAGTTAATAAGAGGGCTGATTTCAAGATTCGAATTTGGATGATATACTTGGTCGTTATTTGAACTTCGTGAAAAAGTTTGAAAAATATGGTAAGTGGAAGTTGTCCATTATAAAAGTCAGAAAATATTCAGAAAAATAAATGACATCAATAAAACTTGATTGTTAGCACATAAAAAAAAAGATTTATGATAAGACAATATCATTCAGAGAATAAATATTTTTGACCAAGCGACAAAATGTGTTAAAAGACTAATATAATTCTCTAGTTGCAGTTGGATTACGCAACGATTTATTTGTTTTGTTTTTCTTTTATCTTTAATTAACTTCTGTCCTTTTGTGAATGTTTGAATTCGATATTGGAAAAATATGTTTGATTTTACTTCCTTAAAAAGAGCAATTCTAGTGGCACTCGAATTTTAGTTATTTGTAATTAGTTTTTCTGGCAAAACATTTTCGTTCCGACAGTATGTTTACAATTTATTGAGAATAAATGTCAGCTGAGATTATATTAGGTGTTTCTACCTTTCTGGTATTCAATATAATATCACCAGATAAGTAGAGGAACCATAATAGAAAATAAACAATGCATTAGCACATTATATTTGTAAGATTAGGATAATATCACAGTATAAAGTCGGACACATAATGTTACTTGACGGCAGAGGTTAAATTTGTGATGTGACTAGATACAGTGACTAAAATAATGTTTTGTGTAGCCTAATAATTTTCTATGCGAACAGAATCAACGGAGTTTCTAGCAAGTCCCATTCTTTTTTTTTGAGAAACTAGCGTCCCATTCAAACATGCATTATTGCAATCCATAACTAGGAAAAGTACAAATAATTAATAAACTAGATAGAGATCCCAGCCATTTGAAAGATTAAAATTAAAGGTTATTAGGAGTTGGGTTAAACGTGAGAATTTAGTCAAAATATCAATGAAGCAAAGGATCAAGCCTAGTTATTCAACTTATAAGCTAATTATCTTGTCATCGTGATATTTCTGGCCTATTTTTGTTGTTGTTACTCAGGTATAACTCAAGGTAACTTGTAAGCGGCCAATATCAACGGTCTCAAGGTCCAATATTATAAAAATAGAGGCAGTCGATCAGTAGTTTATATTTAAAGTATATGTTACAAATAATGGAAAAAACAAAAGTAAAAGTATTCTTTGTTTATATTAAATCGTATTAATTTATCATATTTTAGTGATTTAATATGGTAAAAGTATAAATAAATGAACCATAATTAAGTAAGAGAAGTATATGAGCTAATATATATTATGCATCTACTGATTTGATTTAATTAGCCATTGTGATAAAAAATAATTATTTCAAGATACTGAGACATGTTTAACCAATTAAAAGTAAAAAAAGAAAGAAAGGAAAATACAAATGTCGAAAGGCAGGATAATGTATAGTTCAAACAAAGGGGACTCTAAACACTCATTACTTTGAATTGCTTTAGATCTCCAAATCTCCGTGCTTCTTCTTCTTATGTTGTCGTCGAACGTTTGGACAAAATTATTATATCTTTTTTCTAAAGGCTTTTGGCTTTATAGAGTAAGGAGTGCGTGGTATCTTAAATTAGCAATAAAATAAGGTCAAGCGTGCAGTGCATCAATTAACTCTAAAATGGAAGTCTTTGTCCTACCAACCTCCAAACCGTCCTATCCTCCTCATTTCAATATATATATGGGGAAGGGAAAACAGGGAAGAGAACTATAAGGTGAGGAATCGGACAAAGACCCTTCTAACAAGGT